TAATAAACATTTATCTTTCTAAATTGTTCTAAAGATAAAATCCCATTTTCTTCGATTTCTCGACTACGAAACATTTACTCGATTAAGAAATATAACATAGAAATACTGAAGAAAACGATTTATCAAAGAGATCACTGATGGATCCTATACGAAGAAGAAGAAGAACAACTTTTACCACCTACCTTTTATTCCATTTCTTTTCTCAAGATGAATTCTCTCTATTTGCGTGCCATTAACACTAAACGAAAACTGAGTGATACAACAACCAAACAACAACAACAACAATAATAATATCGATTAGATTCTAACTACGATTCTTATTCGTCAAGATAGAGATTTACGAGTTTTGCAAATCGAATAGAATCGAATCGAATCAAGAAAGAAAGATAAACAGCCAGACAGACAGACAGACAGACAGACAGACAGACAGACAGACAGACAGACAAACAGATAGATAGAAAGAAAACAGAACATAGTTTCGCACTAATATTTCAACAACACAATCATAATAATATCACATATCCGATTGACCGATTTTAATCACCATAAATAAAGCACATACACGTATTTACACTAATAAATATTTACACTAATAATTATATTGATATTATTTAATATATTATATTAATATATAACATGGCATAATAACTACTACCTTTTCACAATCCACATGAAATAAGCATTCCTTCTTGCACGAAATTCTGAAGAAAAATAAAAAAAGGAAAGAGAGAGAGAGAGAGAGAGAGAGAGAGAGAGAGAGAGAGAGAGAGCGAACAAAAGAAATAGATAGATTGAGAGATGAAGAAAGATAAAAAGAGAGAGAGAGAAAGAAAGAGAGAGAAAGAGAAAAAGTGGGAGAGGGAGAAAGAGAAAGAAAGAGATGATATATATATATATATATATATATATATATATATATATATAATATAAGCAGAAAAATTGGAGAACGGCAGAACACACCTTGTTGAAATAAGCCCCGGGCACTTCTTAACATACCAATATATAGGGCGTTCGAAAGGCAACAGTATACACACTCTCTTCTAAGAAACAATACCATGTTTAAAGGTATACCTCACAACGTTAATTCTTATCTCAAAAGAATAGGATCGTTAATAGGTACGAAGACGATATTATTGTTATTAAGTCCTTACGTTTCTGCATTTAACTATTCGATGTGTATGCTACTTAAAGTAGTATATCACACCGATACTATTACAACTACTATTACCACTACCATTACAATTACCACTACTATCACTATCAATACTATCAAGTAACACTGTTACTAACTACTACATCTGTAGTATTAATGTCTAGCGAACAACAGTTGGTTCATTGCCGCCATTACTGTGCACAGCAGAACCAGAGAGACATTTACAAGGTGGCACCACCACCACCATCACCACCATCACCACCACCACCACCATCATCATCATCATTATCATCATCGTGATCATCATCATCATCATCGTGATCATCATCATTATTATCATCATCATCATCATTATTATCGTCGTCGTCGTCGTAATAAAAAGATCTGTCGCTTCTGGTGTTGCTACGAACCAGCTGGCGCCGGTTTTCCTGGTCTTTTTGAAGAAGCAACGTTGTTCCCTTTGTGAATCCACCAGCTGTCACGACGAGTTGTTACATCTTCTTCTTCTTCTTCTTCTTCTTCTTCTTCTTCTTCTATTTCTTTTCCTTTTTCTTCACTTTTTATTCTTCTTTCTCTCTCTCTCTCTTATGTTTGCACGTGTACGTGTATGTGTATGTCACGTGTACTTATACACGTGTTCATGTCTTATCATCATCATTATCATATATCGTCTATTAGTTTCTATTTTTCTTACCTATTCATATTCTCTTGCAAAATTGCTTAGTTTATAGATAAAAAAAAAAAAAAAAAACTGCATAAAACAAAGGGGGAAAAACAAAAAGACAAAAAGAATAACAGAAAAAAGAAGAAGAACACACGTAAAAAGTCTAACGATTTTCAAACTTGTCTCTATTCAATTATACCCATTAAAAATCTCTGAAAAGGATCTGTTTTTCTTCTTGAAATTTTTACTCCATGTATGTATCTACGTATCTGGTCGAATGATAAGTATTCCATTACCGCTACTACTATACTATACTAATATACTAATGTCACTACACTACTACTACTACTACTACTACTACTATTATTTCTGCTATTGCTACTACATCAGTATTATTCTATAAGAGTCACTTCGAGCAATCCAACGAGCCTTAACTGTTTGTCAACAGCCATTAGAACAATGATTTATGCGATAACTCTATACACACAGGACACAACTCTCTCTGTTCTTATTTTTCCTCCCCTTCTCTCCCCTTTACTCTTTTAATCCCTATTCGACATTCCCCATTTCCCCCTCACCCGTACATCTCATATCCTTTGTCTTGTCAAACCGTAACCGTAAACGATAATAACCTGAAGAAACGTAAAACACACTAGATCTTTGATAACACATTGCTAGATCGTTCTTTTCTCGGGATGATAATCAATGCGAAAATCGAACAACGAAATCCCGCTTGATATGATGAATACGCACAAAAAAGACAAAAAAAAAAAGGGGGGCATCAAAAAAGAAAAAAGCAAATAAATAAATAAAGAATCACCGCAAATTGGTAAAAAAAAAATACTTGTGAGAATTAAATTACTCATTGTAATTATATAAAAATTGAGTAATTTGCGAAAATTAATTTTTTTTAGCGAGAAATCATTTTTTTTTCTTTTTCTTCCTTTTTTTTTTCAATTAAATAATTTTGTTGCCCGAGTTACCGGACTTAAAAAAAAAAAAAAAAAAAAAAAAAGAGAATAAATAAATGAATATAAAGAAAAAAAGAAAGAAATAAAGTAAAATGATAAATTTGTAAACGTAAAAATTAATTTTAAACGAACAAATTAATTATCCATGAGAAATTATCAAGTAATAATTTTCCGTTCGAGTCGTGTCACGGTGTATCTTTTTTCTTCTTTCTTCTTCTGTTTCTTTTTTTTTTGTTTTCATTTTTTGATTATATAATTTTGTTACCTGAGTTTAAAAAAAAAAACAAAAAAAAAAAAAAAAAACAAAAAAAAAGAAAACAAAAAAAAAGAAATAAAATGTGTAAAAAAGAGAAAGAGTAAAAGAGTAAGTGAGTGAGTGAGTGAGTGAGTGAGTGAGGACATTAAAAAAACAAGCGTTGCCTGAAGCTCTAAGAGAACATACACATCAAGAATCTATATATACCTATTACTACTACACATTAAACGAACGGACTCTTGTGCAAAATAACTCAAAGGACGTCTGATTTATGAAAGCAGGTCGAAAACCTCGAAGAACGTGGTCCTCACGCTTGCATAACCTTGTTCCAGAAAAAAAGACGGGAGAGGAGAAACCAAGGAACACGCGTGCTCCTTTCTCTCAACTCGCGTCGGCGAATCATTTGTTTCATCGATTTACCACGAACGAAGGAATTCTCGGAAGATCCTGTTTTAACGTGAACAAAAAAAGAAAAAAAGAAAAAAAAAAAGAAAAAAAAAGAAAAAAAAAGAAAAGAAAAAAAAAAAAAAAAAAAAGAAAAAGAAAATATTTTAACGTACCCCCACCACCGCCACCCCCACCCCCTCCCGCTGCCTCGTATACAAGGTACGCATGTATTTATGTATTTATATTTTTATGATTACGATATGGGAAAAAGTAATAATAATGTTTCGATGCGAGAGAATCAAACATTTTTAGAAATAAATATTATTTTGTGATTCGTCGAATTAAGTGTATCATCACATGATTCCTCGATTCGAATGACTATAGTGTGTTTTTTTTTTCTTTTTCGTTTCTTTTTTACTCTCTCTCTCTCTCTCTCTCTTTCTTTTTTTTTTTTTGTTTTTTTTTCCCCTCATGTGTACGATCATTAATCATTCTAAAATTGTTAATTTTAGACGATGAAAAAACACCTCGCGCCAATTCATGCTTATTCTGGTAATCTTATTGCCTGATGTCCTTTTAACATTGTTATAATTATAGTTATATATGACCCGTGTCTTTTCGAATATTTCGTCATTTGAATAGGCACATACAAAAATAAAATATTAAAATGAACAAGTACGAACAATATTTTCACTCTTTAAACTGATTTAATAATGCATATTACAAATTGGAGAACAATAAGTGATAAGTAATTTTTACGAGTCGACGTTAATCATAACAATCAAAAAATGGAAAAATGAAAAAAAAAAAAAAAGAAAGAAAGAAAAAAAAGAAAAATTTACATTGATATTATGAGGATTGGAAAAGAAAAAGAAAAAAGAAAAAAAAATGCAGAAGTATACCAACTCGAAACCATTATCTTATTAAAAATATTCAAATTATAAATATAATACGTAATACGTAATACGTGTATAATTATTAATTATTATAAACTAAAAATTAATTGATTTCAAAAATTACATATCCGTTCTGTCCAATTATTATCAAAATATATTACACGTGTATTTTATAATATTATTACGATAAATAATAGATGAATTTCTTTATGATAATCACAAAAAGAAAAAAAAAAAAAAAAAAAAAAATACGAATAAACGAACGCAGAAATTAACTCCCACCACTCTTACTGCTTATAATAAAACAATACCATGGCATACAATAGGGAACACACCACGTAATACGTAAGTGTTCATAGAACAAGGTTCGTACAATGAAGTTTTGAAATTTTAATCAAGCAAGTAATTAAAACGTTTAAAGAGCCAACGCCGACGAATGAACAAACAAACAATTTTGTGGTGTTACGCAAAAGAAACTTTGAAATGAATCGAAGTCACGAGTCGAAGTAAAAGGATGTGTAAATAATAAAGGAGAGGAAAAAAAAAAAAAAAAAAAAAAAAAGAAATAAAAAACAGAATAAAAAAAAAAAGAGAGAGAGAAAAAAAAAACGGTTGCGTAATAAATTTTACTCCTTCTTCTTTTTTCATCTGTCTCTTCTACTCCGTCATCGTCATCGTCATCGTCATCATCCATCGTCGTAGTAGTCATAGTCGTAATACTCGTAGTACCTCGTAGTAGTCGTCGAACTTCGTGTGTCAGTGTTATTAATATTACGGAAAAAAAGAGAGAGAGAGAGAGAAAAGAAAAAAAAAAAAAGGGAAAAGGAAGAAAAATGAAGAAGGAAAAAAAAAAATATGCGGCGAAGATCCGCCGATTATAATTATTTTCAATATCGTGGCAATTCGACACGTCGAGTTTAATTGGCGCAATTAAACGCGGCCAAGACCTATTATCGGCGTCTTTAAAGTCTGATCTACGTGAGAAAAAGGTTAGCTTCTGTCTTTTCAACCCTTTCATTTTATCCTAAATTAATCAACCATTAGCCAGTGAAACTTTTATATCATACACGACTGATTAAAGCTATCCATTAAATCAATATTTATTTTCTTTTGTTATTAAAAATTTATTGATCGATTCATTTGAATGAACAATTTATTGAAGAAGAATTTATTGAAGATGATCGCGACGATCACAAATATCATTTTCGTATATGTATTATTATAATATTTGTTATATATCATAATGTACGTGCATATTATATTCAATATGTTATAAATCATTTTTTTTATAAACAATATATATATATATAAAATAATGTAATAATATACACGTATAAAAAATTTTTTTATAAATATAATATATATATTTTTTATAAATAATATCATATATATATATATATATATATATATATATATATATATTCAATATTAAGTAATATTTATCGATAAATAAATCTGTATATACGTTTACATAGAATTTAATATTCACACGATATCTAAGCGTATTCGATCAGGTTTGCCGTCAATAAAACATTATCTCAATGAGAACAGACGTGAGATACGATTAGTTTTGATAGCACAAGTATTTTTTCATCCTTTTTTTCTTTTCATTATTTTCTATTTTTTCTGTTCCTTTTCTTTTTTCTTTAACTAACGAACGAAGAACGATAAAAAAAAAAAAATGAGAAAAAGAAAAAAAATGGAAAAGAAAAAAAAGAAAAAATAAGAAATAAAAAAAAAAGGACAGTTTCACATTTCCATATCACCAGTCTCTTTCTTTTCATCCTTTTCAACATAAGTACTTGTTGAACATAAAGTACTATATATATATATATATATATATATATATATATATATATATATTACACGTACTACATATCCAACATACATACATACATACATATATATATACGTAAGTATTTGCCTTTTTCTTTTCTTTTTTTTTTCTCTCCTTACGTAGTAATTTAAAAACAGATACATATGTATGTATGCTTGAACAATAAATACCAATGTGCCGATTATAACGAAGTTTCTCACGTAACAACCTTTTCGCGCGTTTCACACGACATAAGCAAGTACAATGACACGCGACACGACAATGAGTCCATATACACATCATACGACCTACCTACCTACCTATATATATATATATATAGTATATATATATATATGTATTTATACACATATAAAACTGTATAATGTTGTGTGTGTGTGTGTGTGTGTATGCTATACCGTGGGTCACGGCTAATCGCTTCGCCAGCGAGCGCAATGGCGTCAGTCATTGAACAATACTGTGCTAAAGTCGACAATGCTAAGGCTACTATCGATCTTTTCTTTCATCGAATAAACTAAACCGTCTCACCTGTCCTCATACTCCAAGTATCCTATTTAAATACCGAACTTTCTCTTTCTTTCTTTCTTTCTTTTCTTCTCTTTTCTTTTCTTTTCTTATCTTATATTTTTTTTTTCTTTTTCTTTCATATTCTCTTTACATTTTTCATATCTCGTACACAACATTGATTTTTTAACGATGTAATTTTGCAATATGCAAATTATTCGTCCCTTATAACTCGACACCGTGTATAATATTAATCGTGCAAAACGTTCCCATGGATAATTGTACGTTTATTGATCTGTTAATTAATTAATTTGTCAATTAATTAATTTATAAAAGAAACGATCATCATCATCATCATTATTATTATGATTATTATTATTATTATTATTATTATTTTGTGTTGTATAGATCATTGCATTTCTTTACAGGTCATATTATCATTACATATGTATAATCGTCATTCTTAATTGTAATTTTTATTATTATATTCGTATAATTGTCATTATCGTTGTGCAACTCGACGTGGAATAATTTTGTCGTTTGGTTTCGCTCGACGTGGAGAAAAATTCTTGCGTCGTAAGAGAGAAAGAAAAAAAAAAGAAAAAAAAAGAGAAAAAAGAAAGGTGGGGCGGGAAAATGGAATTACTGAAATACAAAAGAACTTAAAAAAAAAAAAAGAGAGAATGAGAGAGAGAGAGAATCATAAGCGCAATAATATAAATGATAATAATTTTTCTAAAGAGCTTAGAAGATTCTTAGAATAAAGGTGACAAAGTAAAAAAAAAAAAAAAAAAAAAAATTAGAAAAAAAGAAAAAAGAAAAAAAAATCCACCATAAAGTCACCATAAATATTACAATTTGATGTATTATTATGATTCTTTATTAAGATGCTTTATTGCGAGGCAAGTGAACCAATAAACTTTCCATTCTATGGCACCCACGAGAGACTCGTCTGCGTTCCACGCGAATTCACGCGTATGGAATACGAAAAAAGCCTTTGCTTTCCTAGTCGCCAACGTTCAGTTGGTGGTGTTGACGAGAGAAACGTGTATGTGTGTTTTTCTCTCTCTTTCTCTCTCTCTTTTTCTCTCTCTTTCTCTTTCTCTCTCTCTCTCTCTCTCTCTCTCTCACTATACATATGTAAGTACAATAGGTATGTGTCTCCTTGTTTTTTTATTGGAATCCAATCGGTGCACATAATTTTTAAATTCAACGTCGGATACATAAATACGTTTCGACATCGTCGAAGTCAAGGATTGAAAGCGTGAATTTGAACGATTCTTCGCCGAGAACGATTGTTACGAAGAAGAAAAAAAAAGAAAAAAAAATTATTCGCTTTTTCTTTTTTTTTTTTTTTCTTTATCCTTTTTGTTTTTTTTTCTCCTCTTTTAGAAAGTAATCAAATATATATGATATATAGATAAATACAATAATAAGGATAAGTAAATAATAATCGAGAGGAAAAAAAAAAAAAAAAAAATAGGAGCCTCATTCATGAAAATCTACTATGTAGTCTTAAAATATAATCGAGCTACGAAGTTATATAAAAAGAAAAATTAATAATAATAATAATAATAATAATAATAATAATAATAATAATAATAATATATTATTTTAATAATATTATCATCATTAATAATAAAATTATCACTATTATTATCGTCAGCTGTTTAATTTTGCGAGAAAAAAATTGTATAAAAAATATATATATTTAAAAAAAAAAAAAAAAAAAAAAAAGATAGAAAGAAAGGAAGGACGCACGACTCTCTTTCCCATTTTTATTTTATTTTTCTTTTTTTTTCTTTTTTTCTTCTTTTTTTTTTTTTTTTTTTTTTTTTTTTTTTTTTTTTGAACTAAAAATACACATGCGAGAGGTAGGTCTAACGATCATATATAGAAGGTTGGTGGACGTTGAAAGAGTCTCACGTGCTAACCACGAGGCGCCTATCGAATTACTTCATTAACATTGCATGTTAAAACGCCTTTGATCGATAAACGTCCGACGAACGCGAACGAAACGCACTAAAACGCGCGCGCGCACACATACACACGCCATGCACACGCCACATATGTATATGTGTGTGTGTGTGTGTGTGTACATATATAGATAAACGAAGGAACGAACTCGAGTCAAGCTCAAAGAGAAAAATCGATCTCGATCTTTCCATACGAGAATGTCGTCGAGAATGGTTAAACAGAGAGTGGAGTAATATACCACGTGACCACGTTTGGCCACGTGAGCAGTTACAAAAAAAAAAAAAGAAAAAAAAAAAAAAAAAGAAAAAAAGTAAAAGAAAAAAAAAAGAAAAAAAAAGAAAGAAAAAAACGGAAAAAAATTCGAATTACAAAACGAAGTCAACGAACGTCGAATGATCAGATATACATATATATATATAAAAGATATATATATATATATATATATATATCTTTTTATTTCTTAACAAATTTTAATTAAAATGATAATAGAAGATATTGATGATATGATAGAAAGTAGAGAAGATTACGAACTATGTACATATGTACTTATACATACACATACACACACACTCACACACATATATATATATAAATCTTTTCGAATTCGTCACGTGGACAAAGGGTACATATCTACATATATATATATATATATATATATATATATATATATATATATATATGCGTGTATGTGAGGGTAGTTCTAACGACGGTTTAGCACTTTAACGGATTCTCATGGATTTCGCGTCGTCAAATGAATAAATGCCGATATATAAGTGAAAACTTTGAATTATGTACTTGACATGATTACTTTTTAATTTCTTATTTTCTCACTTTTTTTTTTTTCATTTCTTTTTCTTCTCTTTCTTTCTTTTTTTAACCTTCTTAACATCCCAAGCGAGAATAATGATAGTGTCGAGTCTGCGTTTAACGGAAAAAAAAAAAAAAAAAAAGTAGGAAAGAAAAGAAGGTTGAGAAGAAAGAGAAAATAAGTACGACGAGGGGAGAAAGAAAAGAAAGAAAGAAAAAAGTGGAGAAGTGGGAGGGGAGGGGGGAGGGTTAAGAAGGAGGAGGGGAAGAGAGAAAGAAAAGTTTGTAAAAAGTGAAAAACTCGAAATACCTGAAGTTGAAAAGGAAGATCAACGAGGACAACGATGACGACGACAATTCGGTTCACAGTTTTTCCTTTTCCCTTTTCAAACCCTTATTTTTCTGATTCTTTTTTTTCTTCTTTTTTTTTTTTTCTTTTTGCCCTTTCTTTCTCTTTCCTTCGAATCTCACAATTTTTGTTCCCCCCTCTCTCTCTGTCTCTGTATCACTCTCTCTCTCTCACTCTCTCCCTCTCGCTCTCTCTCTTTCTTTCTGTCCTATCTCTGAGTTTGTTACGGAAGCGAATAATACGCGTGTTACAAGGGTAACAAATCGAAGGTAAGTCCGGCACGAGAGTTACACGACGACTTCGACCGACTGTCCGAACGTTAACTGAATGGCCTCAGAAAAGAGAGTCTTTGCCTAAGCTCTCCCACTGTCAGAATCTGAGAGGAGAGTGTGTGAGCAACGTTCGAACGACCGTTGTTGTTGCCGATCACTGAGCGACCAACATAAAACCGAATCGGTAGAAGGGACCCTCTATTCCTCCTCCTCCTCCTCCTCCACCTCCTCCTCCTCCTCCTCCTC